CAATCTTGAAAAACCAATGGCAGCGTGATATCTGAAACAAATCGATTAGTCTGTTTGTGTTGTTGATTATCCTCCTGGAAGTTCGCAACAAACGAACAGCTTTGCTGTAGTTGTGGAAATAACCACTCAACTTTATCCAGAGAGATTTACTCCAATTGTTTTCAACCAATGAAATTCTTGTCAATATGGATAACACGTGGCACCATTCTATTTTTTTGCAAAAATGGGTGTAAACACATGTCATGTTCCTTATAATTCTTGTGCTTCAAAACCACCCACTGGCTCCGCAATATATTATGTTGACATAACGTCTGCATTATGCAAGGGCGACGGTTGAGATTTCCCCTTCTAATGTCTTAAATTATGGGCTACGTACCGTGCTTAGCACGGTCTTCTAACATTTAAATGTATGATTGGAGATGGATTATGATATCACTAATTAAGGCATCAAGGGAGAGGGGAGGAGGTGTCAACATTCTACTCTTGCTAGCGAGAAAAGGCTGAATTTTTTATTTTTATATTCACATATATATAACAATGCTAGGAAGAAAAAGAAATCTGCATTGATGGGATAATGAGTCTCAAGACATCTGATTGATTTTCTTGCATTAGTACTAGTACATAGAATCTAAGCTGTCACAGATGTCTCCACCGGAACCTGGCCAGAATAACCAACTCCTGACTTCCTATCAGTCTCCCAGAGCTCTGGTAACGCTTCCTTGATGTTGTGGATGCTTTCTAATGCATAATCTGCACCTTTGACTCTCTGGGAAGTACCAACCTGGAAATGTAGTTCAACAACCAGGTTACCAAGCAAACATTTGATATGTCTGTTTGAATGTTAGAATATTAGGGATATCATTTAAAATAGAATTCCCTACCGAGAATGCAAATCCCTTGACAACTATTAAACAAGAAAATTTCAAGGGCTTACCCGAACCGTGTGAAGGCCTACGCGTTTTCCAGCCTGTATGTTACGGACACTATCATCAAAGAACAACTGAAAGAGAAATTACAATGATGTACAACATTAGCTGAGTGTAATGACATTAAACTACATAGATATATGTATGAGATTAAACATGAAGATCATCTTACTGTTCTCTGGGGGTTGATGTTAGCTATCTTGAGAGCACGTTCTATGGCAGCTTCTGATGGCTTGCAAACAATGGGTGTCTTAGGTAATGACACACCAGGGTTCGGTTGAGCAAAATGCGCAACAATGTCAAAGATTTTGGAGATATTATGAACATCAGTTGAATTGGCAGGAGAGGTAGCAGCAGCAGCTGATCCCACAAACTCAATGTCGTCTTCGTCATCAGAAGCATTGCTTCTGTGAGTAGGATTCAGAGTCTCAAAGCAGATGATCCCTTCAAAACAGCCATTTAGCCCCAGCTTGCTAATAGCATTTTCTGCATGCTTCGCGTCTGCATTTGTGAAAATCTATTTCACAAGAGGAGATCAAGTCTTGTTAGAACCCATTCCAACACAAAAAATGAATACTAACTGGATCTATTGGAGGAACTTTAGTACTTACAACTTTTCGGAAAGGCAGACTGAGCAACAGACTTCTCAAAACAGGATCAGGTTTTAAGTTATCATATGGTAATCTTCCATGAACAAAACTGCCACATAGGAAAAGTAAAAATTTAGCCAAAATTGTATAACTTCTTTTCCTAGGAAAAGAAAAGAAAAGAAAAGAAAAGAAAAGTAAAGAAAAAGAAAGAGGGGACTGCAATACCTATGGTACTCATCATAATCAAAGTCATAGCCAATTGCCTGTAAAGGAGAAATTAATTAAACACATGAATCACATTTTTCATCTGTATGCTCTTGATTTACAGTATACAAAAGAAAGTATGACAGAGAAAGGGGAAAGGAGAAGTAATACCCTAAGGCCAGCCATTGTTGTCCCATAGTTTTTGTACAACAGATCAGACAATTCAGTGATTTTGTCCTTGTCTATGCCAAGCTTTTCAACCATGTAATCTGAACAATGACATAAATTCAAAACTTAGAAACACCAAAAATCTTGAAAACAGAAAAGGGAATCATTTAATATAACAATGCAAAATCTTTACCCTTAATGTTCTTTCCACATTCTCTTGCAATTCCAGAACTAAGAGGGTAAAGGGTATCATCAAGATCTGCAAATTTGAAAATTTGGAATCAAATCCTTCTCAGGGCACTAGTTCATATCATAACCTCATATGCTAGGTAAAAGAGAGCTTACCAAACAGAAGGCAGTCATACTTTGGGCTCTGAGCTAATCTGTAGCAGTTCTCGTATTCCATCTTCTCCTCAAGTGGCAAAGATAACCAGTGTGGAAGTTTGATCGAGTTCGAACCACCTTAAACAAATGATGAAAAACTGTTAAGGGTGAGCTCCAAGATGATTAGTAACCAGTCAAAGTCCTCGTATAAGACTAAATTTAAAATCTTGAACAACAAATTTTAATGACTTGTGACATTGAGGTCCCTATTGACTCAGATTACCACCATGAAAAAGTGGACAATCTTGTCCAATACCAAGCAGTTAGGATAAGTCTTCCTTAAAATTCATGAATGGATAAACCACAACCACATCAACAGATTGAATCAAGAACATTCAACTTAATGACTTCACAGAACCCTTAATAAAAACTGAAAAGCTCCATTGAAATGATACGGGAAAGGCATAAAGCAACCGCATAAGTTGAAATGTGATGCAACACCAACACTTGAAGAATTCAAAACAACCCATATGTGACACTTTTTGAGAGCTGAAAAAAGGTGACCATAATTCATGGAAAAGACAGAGAAAGAATGATATACGGCAAAGAACTGGCATCATACACGATTCTTCTTCATAATCCAAAGAAGAGAAACCCTCTAAAAAAACGAAACCCAAAAACCAAAAGCTTTCAAAGGAACAAGAAAATGCAAGAAAATGCAAGGAAATTCAAACGCATCCCAATAGAATGGATACCGTACCCGTTTCAAAAACGCGTAATTAAACTGAGAAGAAGGAATGCAAACAGATGTTACAAGTAATGAAGAAAGAAGAGCAGAGGGCAGAGGGGGAGGAACAAGGGAAGAGAGGCTAGGTTTATATAGAAGAACCGTTGCCACTTTTTTATTTAAAAATTAATTAAAAAAATTTTTATTTTATGCAACATAAACACGTTTAACTAAATTAGGTCTGAAAATAACAGTTTTTTAAACGACCAGAGAAGGTAACAGGAAGCAACAACAGGGCAGAACAGAACAGGGGAACTTTATTACAGAACAGAGCTAGCTGTTCTTTCATTTTCAGGGCCTTCGCATTCCCTCTTTTGCCCGGCTTTCACGGTCCGAATTTACAATTTTAGTCTTCCAGAATTTGGTAGAAGCTAGGAGAGTGCGGTGAATTTATGATTTTTGTTATATTTTATTGCATATTTTAGGTTGTCTATTTCTTTATGAGTTGTAAGCTTATCTTGATTTCGTTTTCTTACCTTATAATAAGTTATATAATAAGGATAAAGTTGTTCCTCACAAATTGAAGAGAAATATATTATCATTTCTAAAGATTTAAATTTAAAAACTCTTACATAAATTTCTAAGAATTAGATCTATCATAACAATGATCAATTTAAGGCAAACCACAAGGGTTTGGACTACCTACCTTGATTTCTTTAACAAGTTGAAGAGAAAGATGGTGTCAATATGGATCTTAGCTGGGTCTATAAAAAAAGGGAATATGCTGATATGTGGTTACACATGGAGCTACTCTAGATACTTCTGGACTCTTGGGTTTGTTTGTAGTTTTGTGCTGTTGTTCAGAGGACAAAATATCTAAAGTCTTTTGTCAAATAATTGGTTCTCTGTGAAAGGTTTTTCCCTATACATATAAGGTAATAAAATTTAGGAATATTTATAATTTATAATTTGACTGTTGATTTCATTACAAACAAGGTTTTCTACCTGTTGATGCGTACTACTTATGTGTTCATTTAGTGACAATTGTAATTCCCGTCCCTTAGGATTTTGAAAATTTTTATTATCATAAAAAATAGTGTAAATCATTTTCCTATAAAATTTTTTTAAAACGTTTAACACTATTAATTTGGATTTAAAGTCAAATGGGAATTAGCTGTTAACCAATATGTCTCTTTGTGACGGCAAATCAAAATCACAATCAAAATAAAAAGGTAAATACAATTTTTGGTGTCAAATTAAGTAATCATATTGTAACGATAATTTAATTAAAGACAAACTATTAATATCAAAATTAAGAAATTCACAAAGAAATACTTTTACGTAACTTTCTTCATTAATCAAAGTTTGAACGAGAAAGTGGAAATTATAACCTCCTACCAAACCATACCCCATGGGGAATACAGATGTGCAGCTATACTGGTAAATGCACCTATCTAAACTTGTATTAGAAATTGACAATTATTAAGAGCACTAGAGGTTGGTGTTCATACATATCATCATATCTCTATTATTGAAGGGAAAGGCAACACTCCCACGTCTGCTCTTTAATTGCAAAAAACGGGACCATAAATGTCTGATTCTCAATGATACATGTCTTAGAGAGTACGTTTCATCAAATGTTGAAAAATATCAATAGATTTGGTGGTCTTCCTCTTACCCTAAAATTTAGAATTTTTATCAACTTCGATAAAATTTTGTAAATTGAGGTCAAAAACTTATATAAATTTGGAATTTGATCCTATCAAGTAAAAGTAAGTGATGCATGACAACACTTAAAGTGTTTCCAAAAAAGGGGTTGTTACAGTGAGGACCATTAAAGAATGCATACAATTAAATTGAGTCCCACAAATAATTGGTGCCCTAATATAATGCCGCCATTGATACAAGCAGAAAACGACCAACCCATGTCGCATTGCACGACAAAAATGCTTGCTGTAATATCTATTATTTTATTCAATAACCGTTTGTGATTTTGATTCGACCGATTGGTAATTATTTATCTGTCTAATCAAGTAAAAAGTGATAAATAAAAGTATTGTTAAAATTATTTTTAAAGTAATTTGTTTTGAGAAAATATTCTAACAATTTAGATTATAAGAGGCTTTTACGGCACAAAAAAATGTTTTGAAAAATTTAACGAGGCAGAGAGGCAGGTTCTGAAACTACGAAGAGAGGAAATAATTGGAGGTCTAGACTCTAGAGGAGTATAAATAAGGGAAAAATACAAGAAAAGTAAATGGAAAAGGGGAGGGATTAAAAGAGGAAAATGAAGGAAAAGGAGAGACACTATTTAGTATTCTATCCTATTCACAGACCCTTAAAATAAAAGGGGGAGAAAGTTACGTATTTAAAAAAGGAAATTGAGGTGGGAAGGGAGACTGGGTCTGCTGAAAGCATCACTTTTAACTCTTTCTTCATTTCCCTCAATAATTTCAGGCTTTTCAGCAACCTAGGGAGGTCGTGACACTAACATTTTCTCCTTAATTAATTAATATTAATCCATTCATACTACAAAAATTTAATTAATCTATGAATTGTTTAAACAAATTGTGTTGTTATTATTGAGGGTAGCATCTTAGTTTTCTAGTTGGTCGACTAAAAAAGATACTTCCCAGAGATTATAAAATACAAAATCTGATTTAATTAATCAAGCAAATTATAATGATTACATAAATGTTCTTTTCAATTCAACTGAATTTTTTTCTTTAAATGTCAATTGAAGTTGAAAATTTTGAGTTAAATTTCTTTAGTACTTCAAGTTTTTATAAATGATTATATTATATACTCAAATCATTATCAATCTAAATTGAAAATAACATTTTTTTAATAATTTAAAGATTTAGTTTATAATTAATAAATAGATATTATTTTATAAATCAGATTTAAACTTAAATCTTAAGATCAATATTTAACAAAACTAATTTTTTTAAATATGTCAAATTAATGTAGGGAAGATACATGTTAAGGTAGTCTAAAAAAAATTAATTTCAAAACGCTTAAAAATGAACTAAAAATAGTTTACCTATAAATACCAAAAAAATGAACATTTTTCTACTGATTTTGATAAAAAAAAAAAAAAAAACTTGACATTGCCATATTGCATAATGCCTTGTTTTCAGGAAGCTTTATTAGGTCGAGAAGCTTAGGAAATTATTTTAATTGATTGTGGGCTCAAGTACAATATCTAGCAAGGTATATCATTGGATTCTTGGAGTTTTCAGGTTTCCCGTGTATAATTTGTTCTCATTCAGAATTCTTCAAAATGATTTTTTTTTTATTTTTTATTTTTTAACATTCTTAAAAAATGATTAGATTCTGCATTTTTGTTTGTTGCCTGAAGCATTAATTAGATTGATTGATTTTTTTTTTAACTGAAGTTTAAATTAATTAGATTGATTGATTAATCAGTTTAAAAATTGAGGTTTTTGACTTTTCGTACGGAAAATGATTGCTAGGGATGAATGGATGATAATAATTCAGCCTCCAAAATATCTTCTGACAGAAAATTAAATTTTTGATAATGAAAAAAAGGACATGACCCACGTGGATCTTTCTTTTTGGGCTACGAAATTGGAAATAAACCCATGTGAAAATAGAGGACCATTTTTTTTTTTGGAACTTTTTTAATACTAATTTTACTTTGTTTTTTCTCCATCATTTCTTCTTTGTTTTTTCTTCGTCACTTCATTTTTCTTAAGAAAAAGGGGAATTGTTACAAACTTCTTTTTTTTTTTTTTTGTGTAAATAATTGTTACAATTTATTAGTGGCACGGAAAAAATTTCCAACATACTCAACAGTTTTAGAAACTTCTTATTCAATTGGTTAATTATTTTATTAAAAAAAAACATATTCTCATTTCAGTTCTACCCATTTAGTCTCTTTAGTTATAACAAATTGCTTATATTTTAAAAAAAATATTCTCCTAATATCAAAAACTTTCTCTAATGGAGGAGAGAGATGAAATTTTCACTTTTTTTAAATATATCTAATAACGAATTGTATGAAAAAAAAAGATAAGTTTTTATTTTTATTTTTTGATTTAAAATTTAAATTTAAGATTTATAATTAAAAACCTTATATCCTTAACCAATTGAACCACTTATTGAAGGATGAAAAGTCTTTGTTGATCTCTTTCCATTTTATTCCATGTCACTGATTCTGCATCTTTCCATTTCACTACACCCGCTAATTATTCTGTAAAGCTTTACTAACTTTATTTATAGATATCACACCATTACAGATCCTTTATGATCAAGCTATAACGTGGTCAGCTTCTTTTCCCGCATCACCAAGCACTATAAACTCTATTAATAACCCAATAACATCACATACTTTCTCTTTTTTTAAAAAAAAAAAAATGGAAGAACAAGGAACCAAAACCTCAAAAAATTTCCTAAAGGAACCGCCCCAAACAAAAAAAAAAAAAAAAAAAGAAAAAGAAAACAAAAAACAACAAAATTATGGATCGGAAAAGCATCTTTATATAGAAAAATATCAACGGTTGCAAGGACTTTTGATGTGTGTTTGTGTTCTATTTTTTCATGACATTTCGAGTCAAAAGCCAAATAATTTTGCGTATGACACGTGGTTTTGCTTCTCTTATAATCTCTGAAAGTTAAATGAAGCCAATCTCCGAACTCTCGCACTTCAAAAATATCCTCAAAGAAGAAAAAAAGTAAAATAATAATAATAATAATGAAATTTACTTTCTGTCTTTTTAGGCTGTTGTGAGCTGGAAAAGTACCATGTATATCCTACAACTTTCTGTACTTCAATGCTTTTGTGCGATCAACAAGGTTAAATTTAGTTTTCGAATCTGCCACTAATTAATCTTTCCTGACCATACAATTGTTATACTTTGATTTTAATATGCACAACCCCTACTAATTTAATCTCCCATTTGTTGTTGGGGGATGTGATGTTGCTATTTCTTCGAAGGTTCAATTGTGAGAGGAAATAATAAACTAAATTTTGTCTGCATTGCTGGAGTGATAGGTACTAGGGTTGGATATTTGGTTAGGAACTAAGTAGAGGGTTGGTGAAATGAGATGGTTTAGTTCCAGCTTGTGAATCCAGGGTGTCCTCCAATAAGGTAAGCCTCAAAGTGTGGACAATTAGTACTAGGGTTTAGAATAGCCTGCTAAGCGCTAATGGTACAGGAGGATCTACCCCAATCTAAATTAATTACTTAAAATGCATTATGCATTGATATTATAAAGCAGGAGTCCAAACCAAGTGCCCCACAGAGGATTAGTGAAGAATTATTAGCCTTTGTTTGAGTCTGGAGGGAAGATGGTTTTGTTTTCCAGCTAAGATAACTGCAAAAAAAAGTTAAAAAATGACAATTATTTTAAGTAGAGAAAACATATGCTAATACTACAAGAGTGTCTTTCTCAATAAAAAATAACTACTTAAAATGCATTGTTATGGTGATATTAACAATGCAGAGATCCCAGCCAAGTGCCCCACAGATGATTGATGATGAATTATTAGTCTTTGTTTGAGCGTGGAGGGGAGCACTGTTTTGCTTTCCAACTAAGAGGGCATTAGGTACGTTGGATTCATGGGTAATCTTTTTACGCTTCAAAAGCAGCAATAAACTTGTCCTCTTTCAGTTCTGGTAGCCCACTGGCTCGTTTCTCAGCGCATTATTAGCTTAATGAAACGTATGTATCATACCAACAAGGTTTTGTTCCTATGCTATAAGTTCAAGCCTCGAGAAGTGTTAGATTCGAGTCTACCATATTGGTCAAGTGTGTAATGTGAAACGGATTTTTACTATCGAAGCTAGACTATCATAAAGAAAGTCCCATCAAGCCTAATCAACTGAGAGGGCACACTCTTTTCATTTGTTTGGTTTGAGAAGAGAGG